TGATGGTCAATGAAATATTGTGAAGGGATTACATACAAAATTACAAATTAAGTCTGTCATATCTCATTCATTGGTGCATCACAAACTCAGTCTTCTTATTTAATTTATCTTCGTTCAAAAGATCTAATTACCAAAAAAAACTCAGGATTCTAGTTATTTTTATTATTTTGTTTTGATCAAAATTTGATATATTGAACTAGGGACATGGGATATAGTCTACTGTTTGTGTTAGTGTATTTACCCTGTCACGCAGTTCAAATCCGTGTATTGTTGGAAACAAAAAATTCGAGAAGAATAAGACCGTTTCCACGAGGTACATCTCTGCCCACAAGGTATTTATTTTGATGAATCGATGAGTCAATTCTTCGAAAGATGCTTTGTATAAAAAACAATTGATGTGAACATTTTCTTGAGATTGGTAGTTGTTGGTTTGGCTCTTAAATACAAATATAAAAAACCTTTAAGGTTTTCGATGGAGTTATATGTATTGACAAACTTGTTTTGATGTAGAATCAAATTCATATAATTAAGGCACTGGGTTTTTTTCTCTATGATCTTATATATATGGTTATGGATTTTTTTTAGAACACTATGAAATGCCATAACCAAAAGTACATATCAAAGCAAGGAAAAAATATAGCGTTTAGGATTTATTCATAACTAGAGATGAAATATTCACATTAGTTTTAAGAAAATTAAAAGATTGAGAGCTTTTTTTTTTTGAGAAACATTAAAAGATTGAGAGTTGTTACAAACTTACAACAATCTAACTAGTATCTTCTCCATGAATATTGATTATAGTTCCAAAGGGTAAATCATGTAACAAATGTTACAAATCTAAAACAGTAATCTATGAAACAATCGAAAACTTGAATAGCATGGTGTGTTTGTACTTTTTTCCTGGTTCAACAATTTGTGAAGGGAATTTTGGATGATTTAGTGCATCTGGATAACTTTGTGTTTCTAGACATAATCCGGCAAAAGCTTTGTAAACAGTCCCGTTCTTCCCCTTAATGTCCTTTAACATTCCTCCGGTATAGAATTGCAAACCCGGTTGGTTTCCGGATAACTCCATTTTTCTACCCGATTTCTTATCTACGAGTTCCACTATTTTCCTCATCTTCTCAGCCTTACCATCTAAACAATAGTTTATATCATATCTGCAAGAAAAAAAATTAACATTTAAACAGTACCATTAGATAACTTAGACTATAAATTATTCTATAGAAAACAATCATATGTGTTTTAGCAAAGTATTTTCTACCACTCACCCTGTTTTAAGATCCTTCATATTATCTTTAATAGGACGAAGTTGGAGAAAATCATACGGTGTTCCTTTGACCGGAGATATTTGTCCGGTTGGAATGAGTTCACCGTCCACGGGAGTATAACTTGAGCCAAGGATTTGAATTTCTTCAGAAAAAATATCTCCGGCGTTGTGACCACCAAGATTCCAATAAGAATGATGAGCTAAGTTGACCGGAGTTGCTTTATCTTTTGGTTTTGCCTCCATCACTACACTCAATTCATTGTTTTTGACAAGTTTATATGTCACCGTGACATTGAGTTCTCCGGGAAACCCTATTGGTACAAACAAGAAACAAAGCTTGTAACCATTTATTTATAGTTTTGGGGGTGAAAACGAAATAGTTGAGAAGTTGGGGGACCTTGATCTCCATCAGGACTTGTGTAAGTGAAGACAATGTGAGGTTTTTTGCCATCATACTGGTGTTTTGTAACTGCCCAAACAACATCCCCAAACCCTTTCTTTCCACCTAAATTTAACAAAAATGTTAATTAATTGACATAATTATATTTACATGATCATAATTAATTGATCTAATTATATTGTAGTACTCATAATTACCATGAAGTGTGTTTTTGCCATCATTAGCACTTGTCTTGTACTCTTTACCATTCAACTTGAATTGAGCCTTTCCTATTCTATTTGCTACTCGGCCCACGGTTGCTCCAAAGTAGACCTTATCGGTCTGATTTAGTGAGTAGAAATCAATATGTTAATTTTGTATAGCCGAAAAAAAGAATTCAAACATATTAAAAAGTTAAAATAAACATAGACAGAAATATAGTACGTATACCTTGTAGCTTTTGATGCTATCATAACCAAGAACAATATCTCCAGATTTTCCTGAAAATCCGTATAACAAAATTTATTTGAATGTATAAAATGTAATATGAATTGTTTGTTTTGTATTTGATAACATTGCAATTTGATTTGGTTCACTAACCATTTTTGTCCGGGAAATGGAGAGACATGATTGAAGCACCCCAATTTGTGAATTTGACCGTTAAGT